CCATTAACCCCCAGCAGGAGGGACCAGAGCCCCCTTTGGTTTCCCCCGAATTCTTTAGTTCCTCCTACAGTATATTAACCTGACTCTACATTTTTATTCATCGTTTTGCTGCTTCTTCCACTTATTTTTCTGCATTTTCCACTTATTTTTCTTTGTTATTCTACTTCTTCCTCATAGTTTTTATTGTTTTGCTGCCTCTTCTACTTATTTTTGGTTGTTTTTCATCTTTTTCCACTTATTTTTTATTGTTTTTTTTATTTCGTCCTCATATTTTTCATTGTTTTTCTACTTCTTCCTCGTATGTTTCATTGTTTTTCTACTTCTTCATATTTTTATTGTTTTGCTGCCTCCTCTAGTTATTTTTTTTTTTTTTTCATGTTTTTCCATTTTTTTCTCATTGTCTTTCTACTTCTTCCTCGTATTTTTTATAGTTTTCTGCTTATTCAACTTATTTTTGGTTTCGATTCCTTTGTATGTCTGGTATATTTAAGAAATTGACAAATAAACAGACTTTCCTTTTCCTTTGCCTCACCTGGTGCAGCGTCTCGTCCGCCGACAGGTTGATGAGGATGTGGTAGCAGTCCTTGGCTATGGCCACCGAGGGGTCAGAGGTCAGCGCCACCAGGGCCGACACCACGTCGGGTTTGGAGCGGAGGAGGCGGCAGCCATCCCTGAAAACAGACACGGTCCTCAGAGACAAACCAGAGGCAGAAGCAAACAAAGCCGGCCGGAGGGAATCCAGCAGATTTAAAGGTTTTGATCGTCTAAACCAGTGTTTTTCAACCACTGTGCCGTGTCAGGTGTGCCGTAGAAAATCATCCTATTTCACCTAATTGGTCTAAAAAGATTTTTTGATAAGGAATTATCTGCAAATAATATGCCATTTTTGAGTGTCTGTGCTGTAGTAGTGACTGGTGGCGTAATCATGTAGTAATTCCTTATGACTAGATTTTGTATATAATTTTGTATATTGAAGTGGACATGTTAAGTGCAATTTGAAAGAAGAAATATAAAATATGATAAAAATACATTTTTGTGTTTATTTGATTCCTATTTTAGACACTTAAGATAAAATAAGAATAAAATAACAATAACTATAGTGTTACTATAGGCTACAGATTTGTTTGACATTTTTGGTTGGTGTGCCTCGTGATTTTTTCAATGAAAAAATATACCTTGGCTCAAAAAAGGTTGAAAAACACTGGTCTAAACTGTCTGATGTGGAAACTCAGCTAGACTCAAACGTCTCAAGTCTCTGTGTGTTTCTTTGTAAAAACAGTTTTGTTTAATGGTTTTCTCTCCATTTTTCACATAAAATCTAGTATAAAAGAACATACTCTGCGCATCTGTCTGTGAACTCAAACTTCCCAACACTCAGTGCAACACTCATTGATGTTTCTTTTGTAATAACTCTGTGCAATAATATGATCTTACCCTGTATATATCTAGCTCTTAGATATAGAAAACATATTTATTAAGTAGGAATAAGGTCTTAGCTCTGTCACACTGGTAGCCAAGTAATCGACATTTCGTTGTCAAGATTCACCTTGTGTTTTTTGTACAATGACAATAAAGGAAGTCTAAGTCTAAGTCTATGTCTGATCTTCATTTTGTTTGATTTCTTATCCTATTTGTGAGTATTTCTGATTAACTTGGGTGCATTGTGTTCTATTTTATGGATGGATAGCACATCTGTATGTGTAGAAACACTGATTTATTCCCACCTTTTTATCTACCTACACCTCTGATTAGATGTTAAACTGTATTTGGTTTGGTATTTAGACACGTGTGAGAATCTTTTTTACAATCTTAATCAGCTAAATGAAAATGTGAGGCGTGTCCATATGAGGAATGTTTGAACATGTGGATCTGATGGAGGTCTGGATCAGAGCCCCGTCGCCCCACCTGTGGCCCGACAGGCCCAGGATGTACTCGGTGGCCTTCGCCTTCACATCGGGGCGGGTGGCGGGGGTCAGGAAGGACAGCAGCTCCGCGGCCTCAGAGTCACTCAGCATCTTCTGGAAAAGCAAAGAAACCCGGACTGAGCATCAGCACCACATCTGGAAGTATCCCGAGCAGCTGGAGGCTGAATGCTGCATTAATAAGCGCTGATTTTATGATCTATACTACCATTTAAGGAGGTTTTATGATAAATGACCACAGATATATACCTTTTTT